ATCACTTTCCGTATCCATATACCTAGGGTCCGATTACAATTAGAAAAACACCGCTACGTCATAACTATTATTTCGAATTTCCAATATACAGGGTGTCCCGAAATTATACGGTCATATTTTAACAGCGTAATCTACATCCTACAAGTATTAAAAAAAAACCGAATTCAAAAACGTGCAGATGCCGTCACCACATCTTAACCAAATGTATATAGGATCACCCCTGAGGTACCCCCTTACTACCAAAAAAAGAATTATATAAATCGGACAAGGTGGTAAAGCATTATTGCTAAACATACATAAAAAATGAATATTTTGAGGATTTTCTCATGTGCCCAATTATTAGATTTTGACCAAATTTATATGGAACCACCCCTGAAGTACAAAAAAAGAATCATTGAAATTGGACACCGTGTTAAAGAATTATCGCTGAACATACATAAAAAAAAAATATTGCGACGAATTGAGAACCTCCCTCCTCCTTTTTTGAAGTCGGTTAAAAATAGGAGTAAAAGTTTATATAAACATAGGTCCGAAAACGTTTCGTTTTCGAGATACAGGGTGTTACAAGTGAAGTCCAGATGAAACATTTTTGTAAATATTTTCTAAATTTTCTTTAGTTGCCGGTTTTTCAAAGTTAAAAAAAAAATAAAATTTCTAATTCTACAGACCTACTAATTATTATTTACACTTTCGAATAAGGTAACATGCTTTTCTCTTGAAAATGGCGCGTCCTAGCGAGATGCAACAAATGTAGCTTTATTATACAGAAAATATTGGTTTCCAAATTTTATAGTCAAAAAATATGATGTGTCCAACACATGACTTTCCTATCTAGTTATTCTAGGCTTTTTCTGGTTATTTTGTACAACTTATTGCAGTATCTCTATAAATGTTTAGAGGATAAACTAAATATATACATTTTCCACATACATCTACCTCGAAACATTTTTCTATAGTTATTCATTGAAAACGAAAATACTGAAAAATTTAAATTTAGCAATTGTCCTACAATTTTTCCATTACGGTCCATTTTAGAAAAATCATGTATAAACAAAAATTATAGAGATCGATATCGCAGACAACTTTTAGTTCAACAATTTTCATAAAAATTTTGCACATTTTGTCAAATTTCTCGAATATGGACCATTTCAGGAAATTTTGACATCAAGCAAAAATTATAGATAATAATATTAGAAGTAACTTTTATTTGAACAATTTTCTTCTCCAAACATAAATAACAGATATATTCAATAAAATATAAAAACGGCCTCCCATAAAGTACCCCCCCAGATGTTCCGACTTTGTCCAAAATCTAATCAATTCACGTCAGGCCGAAATAAAACTTGAATTTAAAATTTAATGTTTTTTTCTTTATCCGTTTTTGAGGTCTTCAAAATTTAAAATTTACACATTTTCTTAAATATCTCGAATACGGTCCATTTTAGAAAAATTTTGTATAGAACAAAAATTATAGATAATAATATTAGAAGTAAGTTTTATTTAAAGAATTTTCTCCTTCAAACGTAAATAACAGATATATCCCATAAAATATAAAAATGACCACCTATAAAGTACCCCCCAGATGTTCCGACTCTGCTCAAAATCTAATCATTTCACTGAACGCTGAAATAAAGCTTAAGTTTAAAATTTAGTGTTTTTCTGTGTATTGGTTCATGAGTTATGGTGGATATAGACACACATGGCAATTTTACCCTAAGCTCCCCCTAATTTACCCACCTAAGAAGATGATCAATAACTGGAGTTTAGTCCAATAAATGAAGCGTAAGTATTTGTAACAAATTTTACCTAATTATCTTTAAACGTTTAGAAAATATTTACAAAAGTGTGGTATCAGGACTTCACCTTTAACACCCTGTATCTCGGAAAAGAACAGATTTCGGACCAATGTTTATATAAACTTTTACTACTATGTAGATTACGCTGTTAAAATATGACCGTCTTATTTCGGGACATCCTGTATATCATCTATAACTATCAATAAATAAAAAATATTTGAGTTGTTTGGTTTAAAAATAGTATTCCTACATTCGTATATTAACAAAACACTAACCCCCAGTAGGCGGCGATAGCCAACGAATTATACCTGAATTGTAATCGCACCCTACCCAATATGATTATTCTTTAGCGCACGACACACAACATTGCCAAATTTATGTAGCGAACAAGGTTCCAAATACGTAAAGGGGAGGTCGTGAGATTCGTGCGGTGTGACGTCAGAAGGGACTGGATTGCTCTTAATATTGTGTTTTATTTAAAATTTTACTGAAACCTCAATTTCAGCCTCTCTGTATTACATAACACAAAGAACAATATAGTGTCTCCACGGATAAACTTAATTAAACTTGTAAAAATATTTATTTTAAATTAAAAAAAGTTATTTTTCATAATTTCTCAATGTGACTCGTATTTATTTAGCAAGCAAAAGAAATTATGAAGAATTACTTTTTTAATTTAAAATAAATATAAAGTCCATCCGTGGACACACTATATAATGTTGTAGAACTAATTCACATTATAACATCTATAGAACGTTTCAGAAGAACTTTCGGTGTAAAAACCGTAAAAGTGCTAGTGTGATGTTCTTCGAACTTTACTTTGTAACCTCTGTGAGATGTGCTATAAAAGTCTTGCCGTTGCGGACATTCAGCGGTTGCAGAAATATTAGTGCTATTTGCGCTAGCTGGGATGGTGCCGCTAAAATCTGTAGTCCAAACTCAAGATGGTCACCACTCCCCATATAAATGATGAACTTTGGTTGGTGAGCTGCTTTATCATTCTCGTCATCTGTCATTTATATAACCGCTCATCCGACATTAACTCCATCTATACGATCCTATTTTTTACTTACCCTGTATACCTTTTTTTGATAGTTTAAAACTACGCATCTCACTTCATCATGTGAAAGAGAAATTTGATAAAAACATTCTGATAAAACAAAATCATTGATAACACTGAAAAAACTTAGTTTCTTCATTTACAAAGTCAAAAGTAAATAAAAATATATAAATTTTGAATTATTTATATTTTTTTGACTATATAAAAATCATTGGATGAGACAAATTGATCTACATTATAAAATTTTATTCATTTTCAAAAATCTAAAATTAACTTTGAAATGGAAATCAAATCTCATATCCTTAGATGTCCTAGTGAATTTGGAAAACTGTTTAATTTTTTAAAAGATGTGAATTTATTTAATCAAATTTAAATTAGTATAAATTATTTTCCTGTGCCCTATAGTTTTGTAAATTAGGTTTTTTTTCTTTTGCCTGTAGATAGTATATATTTTTGTAAAACCTCTTGTAATATTATAATTGTACCTGTGTCAATGGCCCCTGATGCCGAGACACGTTAATTTCAATAAAAAAAAATCTCATAAAAAGGAAAAGGTAAAATTAACACAAAACTATAAAAAAAACTTTAATAAAACAAAAGATAAATAAGAGTAAATATTTCCTTCAATAACCTTCAATATAATAAGTGATTATAAAATATAGTGTAGGCAAAACAATTAAATATATTTATATGTACCTATACCTTAATAACTAATTCAAAATAAAAATAATCTCCAGAAGAATAATTTCTTTAACAATTGTATAATAAAACTATTACCATATATTTATAATACCAAATAAAAATAAATAACCTACCCTTCACTGGTCGAAGAACCTTCACCAGAAAAAATTAACAATTTTTTTTATATAAAAAAACATTGCAGTCTATATTATAAAAAGTAAAAAACTTAAATTTAAATAAAAATAATAAAAGTAAAAAATAGATCATAATAAATAAATAAAAAATAAATAAATAAATAAATTGACTCTTTTTTTATAACAAACATTTTATAGATTTTTTTATTTTTTTAGACGTATAAATGGATATGACAGTATCACAGTATACTGTTTTATTATAAAAATATAGAAAAGTATAAATACTCATTAATTACTATGATATATAGATATAAAAAAATAGTTTTTGAGCTATATTTATAGTTTTATAATTATTAAGCTATGTAACTTGGTCCCAGCTTACTTTTTTTTAATATACTTTTTGAAAATATTTGACACGCATTTTATTTCGTAAACATTTGTGATAAAGTAATAAAACTATCTCAAAAGCAAATTGTGCTAGTAAATTTTAGTACATAAGTCTTTTTAGAATAATCTTATTATCAGGTTCCATTAACTATAGTCGCGTCAAAGTAGGTTTTCACTTCGAACTTTGGTCGGAAAGGTCCAATCGGGCTAATTTTTTTTGCAAAATGTTCATTGAGACATGAGATTCAAATTTCACTAAAATCTAGATGCCGTTCGGCCTCCCTCCCCCCAAATTCACCCCAATTGGGGGGAATTCTCGGCTTTTTTCAACAAAAGGCGCATACTTCATAAAACTGCAGTCCCAAGCGGGGTAAATATTCCACTCGGGGGTTTTAAAGTACCCTGAATCCATTATTTGGGTCAGGTCACCTTTACGACCTTCCCAGGGGTAGATGGGGGTCCAATATACTAGATGTCCGTGGAAATGTATTTGGGCTCCCAAATTGAGCTAGGGGATTTTAGAAGGGCGGAGATCTTAATGTCATCGAGAATTAAGCCTTTACAAGCCTCAGGGTCGTATAAAAAGGGGCCCATGGGGTCTCAAATATCATGATCACGCGGGATTGAATTTCAGGACACATAATTGGTACGCGCTAGTGTTATAAAACAAACAAATCTAAATTTGGGCAGCCTGTCATCCTGTGACCCAACCAGGGGTGTCCAAACAGGGTGCTGGGCCCAAAATATGAGATTTGATTTTATTTGATATCAAAATGTAAAATTGATATAATTTTTCCATCGAGTATACTTCTTGATCTTTTTGATATCAAATAAAATCAAATCTTATATTTTGGGCACCGGCACCCCTTTCGGACACCCCTGGTTGGGTCACAGGATGACAGGCTGCCCAATATAGAGTTTGTAGTTTTATAACACTATCGCGTACCAATTCTGTGTCCTGAAATTCAATCCTGCGTAATCATGAGTGGGCCCCTGTGTATACGGCTCTGATGGCTTGAAAAGGCTTAATTCTCGATGAAATTGAGATCTCCGCCCTTCTAAACCCCCCTGACGCAACTTGGCAGCCCAAACACATTTCCACGGACATCTCATATTTTGGACCCCCAGACGCCCTGTCACAAACCCCTGTGAAGGTCGCAAAGGCGACCTAACCCAAATAATGGATTCAGGGCACTTCAAACTCCCCTAGTGGAACATTTGCCCCGCTTGGGACTGCAGTTTTAGAAAGTATGTGGCTTGTTGAAAAAAGCCGAGAATACCCCCCAATTGGGGTGAATTTGGGGCGGGAGGGAGGCCGAGCGGCATCTAGATTTTGGTGAACTTTGAATCTCATGTCTCAATGAACATTTTGCAGAAAAAAAATAGCCCAATCGGACCTTTCCGACCAAAGTTCGAAGTTTCTGCGTTTTTAGTCCTACTTTGACGCCACTACTAATAGACTTTTAACATTTGTTTGTATCCAAGATATGAAAATAGAATATCAGAACCATATTTTTATTCTGCAATATAAAATATTTTTTATTAAGACACAAACGATAGTACTCTGAAGTTAATCCTCATAGTGTTGCAGTTATGTGCAAAACCAAACTCTGAAGAGAACCTATATAAAAGTGACCATGAAATTAAATATATTAAGAGTGCTATTTTTCAAAAAAAAACATATTAAAATATACGGTACTTCTCAAAAGTATTCTGCATTTTTGAATACCTGTTGATATGAGAAACCCTAATACAGATAGGGAAAGAAGCAGATATGACAAACAAGCAAAAATTTCTAATTTAAAAATGTTGAACTTACAGGGTGTGTCACCCTCAACGAGACGTAGCCTGGTGGGTAAAATAATAAAAAATATATTAAAAATTCCTTTGGCACAAATACATAATTCAATGACGGCTCCAATTAAAAATTAGTTTCATATATACAAGGTGTCCCAAACCAGAATACCATTATAAAATTATATTTTTCTAAATGGGACATAATGTGTTTTCTTGCAAGCTCCCCGTACATTTTTTGAAAATTTTAATGATTCCGATACAAAGTAAAAACATTTTATAAGGAACTGTCAAAAATTTATTAATTCAATATTTTGTAATAAAGAGAAATTATTTAATTTTGACAGCACTACATAAAATATGTCAAATAAATCGTTAATGTACACCCTGTATATATGAAAGTAATTTTAATTTGTAGCCGGCGTTGAGTTGTATATTTGTGCATATTTTTAATATCGTTTGTAGTTTACCCACCAGTCTCCGTCCCGTTGAGCTTGACTCCCCTGTAGGTATAGTTGAATAACTATACCGGGTGTTCAAATTAAAGTATTACAGCTAAATACCGCCTTAAAAAAAACGTTTCAGACAAAAGTTTTATTATAGTTTTGTGGGGAAAAATTTTTGGATAAAATCGTTTTTTATAGCTAACCATAATATGGCCAACTGTTCTTTCCCCCAGCAAAATTTTTAAGTAGCTGTTACTCAAAAAGTAACAGTCCAATAAAAAAAATATTTCCATCAAAAGTTTCTTATTTTCTTATGTACTTTAAGAATATATAAACAAAAAATGAGATTCCCATTTAAAAAAACAAAGTCCACCTCGATATGGCCATATTATGGTCAGCTATAAAAAAATGAATTAAGCCAAAATGTTTCCTCCGAAAAACTATAAAAGTTTCGTCTAAAACTGATTTTTCTAAAATGCATATTTCCGGCGGTATTTAACTGTAACACTTAAATTTGAACACCCGGTATATTTACTAAACGACAATACCAATATTTTAACTATATCCTGCGAAATAGTAATCACAGTACTAGTAGTTGTTTAATACAGGGCGAATCAGCGAAATTGTAGAGACCAATGAAAGCTATATTCCAAAAATAACTACCAATATACAAGACGTCCAATAGATATACAGGGTGTCCCGAAATTAGACGGTCATATAATCTACATCCTAAAATAGGAGTAAACGTTCATATAAATATAGGTCCGAAAAAGTTTCTTTTCCGAGATACAGGGTGTTAAAAGTGAAGTCCTGATGACACTCTTTTGTAAATATTTTTTAAACGTTTAAAGATAACTAAGTGTAATTTGGTACAAATGCTTACCTTTTTACGCTCTATTTAACGGACTAAACCCCAGTTTTTGATCATCTTCATAGGTGGGTAAATTAGGGGGGACTTAGGGTAAAATAGCCCTAAGTTGCTTTGTTGACAGTTTTTACCATTTTTGACTGTAAAATTTGGAAAACCAATGTTTTCTTTACAATAAAGCTACTTTTGTTGCATCTCGCTAGGACGCACCATTTTCAAGAAAAAAGTATTTGAAAATTTCATGATAAGTTGATGTTATCTTATTCAAAAGTGTAAACAATAATTAGTAGGCCTATGAAATCAGAAATTTTATTTTTTTTTACTTTGAAAAACCGGTGACGAAAGAAATTTTAGAAAATATTTACAAAAATATGCCATCAGGACTTTAATGGTAACACCCTGTATCTCGAAAACGAAACGTTTTCGGACCTATGTTTATATGAACTTTTATTTCTGTTTTACGCTGTTAAAATATGACCGTCTAATTTCGGGACACCCTGTATATGTGACTTACGCTTTCTTAAATTGTTTATTCAACTTTTTGTCCGGATTTTACAATTTTTTTATACTTTCCGATAAAAATCAAGTAGGTAAACCCTATATTTTCTGCGAGCTCATAGTGAGGACTATTCTGTATGGCCTTATTTACAGGGAGTTATACTTGACAAAACTGAAAAACAAGTAATCCCGAGTTTTGGTTGCTCCTGTATAGGAAAGCACCATTCGGTGAAACTATGAATAGGAAAATTAAATACATCATTTTCTAGGATATTTGGTGGAAAATTTTTCTTATTTCAAATTATTGGTTTTGAGATATTTGGTGACATAAATCTCATCATAAATTTCGAAATCCTATACAACCCTATATTTTTGAAAAACACTCATCCAAAAGAATTCATTAGAGTAAAAAGGTGTTTCATTTAAAAAACAACTGTGATTAGTCGCCCATTCATCAGACACCTTTTAGCTTCCATTGTACTCTACAATTTTTATCTCAAAAAGCATTGTTGGTACACCCTGTATAACAATCACATTTACTGCTACAAAGCTTTTAAAGGAAGCATTTATCACTTTTCAAGAATAATCTACTGTTCAAAATAGTTTGATAACAACAAAATTTGATTCATTAATGTGATAAAGTAAAATATGTAAGGATGATTACATTTTCTGGTAAAATACAGAAAGGAGGAGTAAAAAATATTCTCCCCATTTCCCCCTACTTGTTATAAGCATTATTTAAGACCTCTTGTTTGTGCTCCTTGTGCTTCGCCATGACGTGCATGATGAAGTGAATCTTCTGTCGCCCTTTGTAGGGGCAATAGGCGCATTTAAACTGAGGCTCCTTACCGCACTCCCACCGACAATGGTTATACAGGGAACTCTTCCTTTTGTAAGCCCTTCCGCATTTCTTGCAAGCGAAATGATATTGCTGTCCTGTTATTTGCTCTAGAGTGGTGGAGTGGTAGAGGTTGTCTGAAAAATATTAAACTAAAATAACGTCTACAAGACCAACATTTTAAAAACGGTGTTAGTTCGTTAGAAAATGTCTGGATTTTTTTTAAGAAGTTGACAAATTTAAACAATGTATTGAAATAAACCAATTAAGAAAATAAATGTCTTGTAAGGAAAGCTTCTTGAAAATTTCATTCCAGAAGGGTTAAAAATCTGAAGTTTCAATAGTTTTTTAACACGTTAACTGCTAGGCCACTTATGGAAAAAAAAATTTACCGGATCCTGTGGGCCACGCAAGTTTTCTTATACAAAGTGATTTATTAATGACGAAAAATTACTAAGAAACTAAAAAAATACACACGGCGCATGAACAAGTATCTTTAATACTTTTGTGTCCTGCGCCATGCATACCACATATAGACACATCAACACATGAATCTAAAAAACTAAACTAGATTTTCATTTTGTTACTTGTGTTTATCCTTTTCTAATCTTAGTTATCACATTTGTAAATAAATAAAAACCTATTTGATGCATTCCTTTTACTGATAAATGGGATGAATTTTTATGTGAAAGTTCATTATTGTTATCAATTGTTTAAGTTTTATGTTTCCTTGCGTAATATTTAGCGTTTGTAAAAATTTGGGATTTTTTCCATTAAGTTGACCTGAGTAAAAGCAAAAATAAAAATTGTTTTCTATAACTTTTACTTTTTGCTGTATTTCAAAAAAAACGAAAGTCATTACTATATAGTACACTCCCACGCCAGACCAAACAATACATGAATTTAAACCAATGCTAAGTACGGCCGTGGCATGTACACACGGCCGAGACACACGGCGCACATTTAAAATGAACTGTGTCTAGAAATGGTACACATGGCAGTTAACGTGTTAAGTAAAACTCAAAGACGGAAGTAAAAAAGCGGTATTTAGAGAAACCTAAAAAAAAAAAAATATGTATCAGCAACCGAAGAGTTTACAAATGTAAAAATTGGTTGATACAGATTCATTTTATCACGAAGAAAATCGTGTTCTGTTGATGGGGGGGGGGTCAAATTTTGTTTGAGTATTTCTATATCTCAAAAACTGAAATTGGCACAGACGTGAAAATTTTGATTTCAAGATTGCTTTAAAAATGCAGACATACAGGATTTTGAATCTCACTATCTAAAAACGCTGTTGCTAGGTACACGCTAAATTGTACACAAATCAAAAAATTATACACACGCGAAACGTCATATTGCTGTGGTGGGAAGTGTTTGTGTGAATGCGTCTTGTTTGTTTTCATTTACGCCGTAACTAGCAGTAGTATTTTATAAACCTTAGAAGCAAATTTCACATACATGAACAAATAATAATAATGCTGTGACAACAAGAAAACGAAGCAACGACTTCTCGTAGAAAATTTCAATCCATATCTAGCTACGCCAACCGGCATAAACACCAACGGCTTAAACACAGCTCACCTACTCTGTCAAGACGTTTCGCGTGTATATAACTTTTTGAATTGCGTACAAGTTAGCGTGTACCTAGACACTGTGATCTAAAAATGTGGGTTGAAAACGAGAAGTAGTTTTTTATAAAGGGTTACCTGTATATATTAAATCCCGAAGAGGTTATAGACCTAAAAATTGGTAGCTATTCAGATTCTCCTTTTAACATTAAAAACTAGAAGGTTTGCTATCTTCATAAAATGCAGTTATCTCAAAAATTACAGAGAAATTTGGTACACCGAGAATACTTCCGAAATAATATTGGTGGGTCAATTTTATTTCAGAATTTAGAGAAATGACGCACCCGGTATATCTGTATATAAGGGTGAACTGTCGATGTGTATACTAAAATATCAAAAAATGTTTTTGATTTTAATATATTTTGTCATGTCCACGACTCTAAATTAAATCAATCCAAATTGATATTTAAAAAGCAGAAATTTAGGCTCCGACATGCGTGAATTTTTCCAAGGTCTACTTTGGAAACATTTTTTGTATATCAGTTCATATTAGTATAACTTATTAACAAGGCTTAGTTTGAAATAAATACCCTGTATTATATACAGGATGTAACAGAAATATTTTCAATAAATTTAACCACAGTTTCTGGGGTCGAAAATAAGTCGATTTAAGCTAACTTTCTAGCATACAAAAATTAGCAATAAAAAGGTCACAGGGTGTTAAAGTAGAAATTTTAGAAGTGATTTTTTGGCCTTACTCTAAAACGACTTTTTATGAAAATATATAAGTAGTATAAGGTGACCAATAAAATGGAGTTGGTGGCGTTTAAAGTTGTTTCTATTCTATAGGTTTTTAGAAGAGTTCCGTACCCTTTTCACCCCCCTACTTTTTTAGACAATGAAATTCAATTAAAAACTGGACGCCCTGACATCCTACATCTCTGTTAGTAGAGTTGTAGACCACATAAGGAAGGTCATAGAGAAAAATATTCACAATACAATTTTGGCATTCATCTTTAACTACTGAATATTTTTTTTATTATTTTTATTATTTTACAACTTCATGGATGATCGATAATTAAAAGGAATAATTGCAAATGAAGGTCTAAAAAAAATCGTGAGCAAATATTCAGTGGTTTGGGTTCAATAGAAAAATGTCATTTGCTACCTACTTTCTGTGTCTAAGCACCTGCGGTGGGATTTATGTCAATCCAAAGTTGGATGCCGACTAACTACAGTGAAGAAGGGGGTGAGTCGTAGAAAAAGTGATGTTTGTAAGTGGGCGCCAGGAGTTTAACCTCACATCCAACAATCTATGTGACAGTTCACTACCAAACTCAAAATAGGAAACTTTAGCATCTCCTCTACAAGGCCATCAAGCGGCTACAAATCGTGAATGCTCCTCTTATATTATATCAGTTACTTTACCATAAAAATAGATGCTGACAGTTAGCAAGTGGTGATAAATAATAAGTTAAGTTCAATATATACCCAAGTTTAATAATATAAATATAAATCGTGTTGACATGGGTGGTCAACTTCGTTCACACTATGAAATATACTAATATTTACCAAATTAATAACAACTAAATCACTTAGTACATTACTATCAGATCCCCCAACTATTAACAGTAATCCAGTATCACTGGGAGTAATATTTACAACTAACGCTATATTAAACTTAAAAATCATTAAATGGGATTAGGGGTAATCGTAAAAATGTAACACATGAGGTGTGTACTGTATTTAGCAAATAAACAAATAATAGTGTACTATTTTCGGACGCTAGGGGTAAAAACATATAAAACTCCGTTACTTAGTAAAAATATTAACTACCCTTAAGAATATACCCCACAAAGAGCTCTTGGTGACGTGTTTCGGGTTTAATAAAAATGTACTGTAAACCATACACCCCTAAACCTCGTTTACATTAGGTTTAGATTAAAACACGTACTAATAACACCCCCCAATAAAATAGATTAAATAGTAATAAGTAATATAAAAAAAAAGATAGCAAAACTTGCGGTACACCGTGACTTCTTCCCAGCTGCTCTAGTAGACGGTTGATGTCCTACTTCGGCATACAAATCAATCTGCCTGTCGTAAAGGTTGGTAGCCAGTTAGACGATTACTAGCTGATCACAAGGAGTACTAGCTGGTCACAAGATGTGCTAGTCAGCCCGTCAAAAGAAGTGTTGGCCCTTCACAAGAAGTATCAGCCCGTCACAAGAAGTATTAGCCCGTCACAAGAGGTGTCAGCCCGTCACAAGAACCCCTTTTTTTAATCCGCAAAGGAGGGACAAAACTATGCACCAGATCAGCTTAAACGGCAAATTCGTGAACGGCTTATTCAGAAAGACTACATATATATGTGGGCACAATGAGATTCAACACGTGGTTAAATATATCCTCCTAAGAGCTCCTACAACATGTGGTCACCAAAAAAATACTACCAATTCACACTGTTGTATCTTAAAACAAAAAGGTTGTTTCGCAATATCCCAAATGGATTAAAACGAGTTCCAATAAATTTCGAAACAGTACCTTTCAAATTCACGTGCCGAATATCAATCTCGAAATTTCCACCAAGAGCAAAACGGAACAACGTCATTTGACATCTCCCAAACCAGTAATACCAACATACCTTAGTGACAAATAGGTGTCCCATCAGCGCCCTCTATTACGAAATAAATTCTTGACAGAAAGGGCTAAAATAACCAAACAAACCTCTAAAGCCAAATAAATAGCCTAACTAAACTCAAATAGAGGTCCTATCTACCCCAAACTGATCATATACCCACAATTAACGTCAGAGCGGAAACGCTAGACCGACATCTTGAATACAGGGCAGCCACATGCTCACCCAGAGTGTCGAAGAGGGACCCCTGAATCGCTTTCGACGGTGGGGACAAAATCAGTGGTTCACATATCGATCCAAAAGCACAGTGGTTTAAATGCGGGTATAGAAGGACCCATTAAATAATTACTGAACACTGATAAAAACTAGTTTATTCCTATTTTTATGAAAAACCGCTATAAGGCCAAATTTAAACGTTACACATTGTATTTTTCACTATATTTCGGAACGGAGTAATCAGACGAAAGTCTACTTGCTTCAGGACTAAAGATACCTGGGACATGCCCCAGGATGAAATGCTGAAGAAGTACAGTTTTGTGAAAAAAACCACAGAGCTGGGCTGCAAGAAAGAATGGAGCCAAGAATCCATCGCGCTTGCAACCGAAAGACGGTCTATTCAGTGGTATACGGACGGTTCCAAAACTATAGAAGGAACTGGAATAGGAGTGTATGGGCTGAGAACCAAGCACTCCGAAAGCTTGGGAAAATACCCAAGCATCTTCCAGGCGGAAATTCACGCCATCGAGTAGTGTATCCAGTTCAACATCGAGAGAAACTATCATAGACAAGAGATTACCATCATGTCCAATAGTCACGGAGCCATCAAAGCGCTGAGCCTTACGTAATCAGCTCAAAAATGGTCTGGAGATGCCTAGAACAATTGAATGAGCTAGGCGAGAAAAATAGAGTTACTCTCACTTGGGTCCCG